GGTTTCCCAGGTATTGGCTCCAAAACACCGTATTCGGCTCCCGAATACGTCCAAGTGACCCGCCTCGTTCCTAGTTAAGCTCTAATTAGATCAAGTGATTCATAAGGAGCGAAAAAGCGACAAAAAGCATGAATTTCCCTATGGCGGCGGGCTGCCGGGTTTCCTGACGGCGCACCGGCTATTTCCACTTTTGACACACCATGAAATTGAAATGCGCCTCTTTTGGACGAAAGACATTATAAACACTCCCAAACACTGAATTACAAGTGGTTTAGACACACTGAACATGAAAATGGTGTCCGTGACCCCTGTTTATGCCCTGAGGTCATCTTAGGTCACGAATGGTATCTAACAGTTTTTCGCAAATAACTTTTGATAGAGGCATGCTAGAGCGATGAAAACGCCTTAGATGTGTTCAGCTCGACGATACGGATTGACTGATATGCAACATGACCCTTTCCGGTCAGGTCATGACCTTGACCTGAGGTCAAATTTTCAAGTTGACCTTTCAATGTCAAGTTATAGTTCATTCGATGCGTCTTGACGAGAGGAACACGATGCCGGTAAAAGTAAGCTCGCACAAGGCTTGAGTCAAAAGTTATTGCAGAAAAACTGTTTCCGAAAAAATCGGCTATTTTTGCAGTTTTTGCCCCCTGCAGGCAAAACCGTTGACGTTAGGTCAAATCTGAGAATATTACTCAGAAAGGGCGTTAATAGGGCTATCGAATGCGCTTTTCCGCGGCGCTGTAGCTCTATTGGTTCCCGAGTTATGCGTTGGCTTCTTGGAAATTGTCGACATTCGACCTGGAAATCGGCGAAATTTTGCCTTCAATGACCTCTGGTGACCTGACCTTTGACCTGACCAAAAAATTGACTGAAGTGATTTCCTCATTATTTTTGACGCTCTTTCGAACGCCGCCTTCCGCGTATCGCTACGTGGCCCAGGAGCCGAGTTAGAAGGGGGGGGGTGTTCAAACACCCCCCCCCCCAGCAGGGCGTGGAAATCCAGGACCCCCAGCCGGGCGCGGGTTAACCCGCGCCCAGCTGGGCGCGGGTTAACCCGCGCCCAGCTGGGGGTCCTGGATTTCCACGCCCTGCTGGGGGGGGGTGTTTGAACACCCCCCCTTCTAACTCGGCTCCTGGGCCACGTAGCGATACGCGGAAGGCGGCGTTCGAAAGAGCGTCAAAAATAATGAGGAAATCACTTCGGTCAATTTTTGGTCAGGTCAAAGGTCAGGTCACCAGAGGTCATTGAAGGCAAAATTTCGCCGATTTCCAGGTCGAATGTCGACAGTTTCCAAGAAGCCAACGCATAACTCGGGAACCAATAGAGCTACAGCGCCGCGGAAAAGCGCATTCGATAGCCCTATTAACGCCCTTTCTGAGTAATTTTCTCAGATTTGACCTAACGTCAACGGTTTTGCCTGCAGGGGGTAAAAACTGCAAAAATAGCCGATTTTTTCGGAAACAGTTTTTCTGCAATAACTTTTGACCCAAGCCTTGTACGAGCTTACTTTTACCGGCATCGTGTTCCTCTCGTCAAGACGCATCGAATGAACTATAACTTGACCTTGAAAGGTCAACTTGAAAATTTGACCTCAGGTCAAGGTCATGACCTGACCGGAAAGGGTCATGTTGCATATCAGTCGATCCGTATCGTCGAGCTGAACACATCTAAGGCGTTTTCATCGCTCTAGCATGCCTCTATCAAAAGTTATTTGCGAAAAACTGCTAGATTTCATTCGTGACCTAAGATGACCTCAGGGCATAAACAGGGGGTCACGGACACCATTTTCATGTTCAGTGTGTCTAAACAACTTGTACTTCGGTGTTTGGGAGTGTTTATAATGTCTTTCGTCCAAAAGAGGCGCATTTCAATTTTCTCCCATTGACTTATAATGGGGAGGTCGCAAAATTGACCTGACCTTAGGTCATCGATATCAAAATTCTGAGATATACATTTTGTACATGCTATTGCTCTTAGCAATCGCTGAAAGTTTCAAAGGGATCGGTCACTCGGTGTAGCTATGACAGACATTGAAACTTTTTATGAGGTGAGGTCACTTCAAGTGACCTGGTGACCTGACCTTGAATGACCTTGGTCTGAAATTTTCACAACATGTGTAGAATTGATGTATGATAAGGTGTACCAAAAACGGCGGCGCTCCGCGCCGCCGTTTTGGAGATATTCGCGAAAAACCACAAGGGGGGGTGTTCAAACACCCCCCAGCAGGGCGCGGGTTAAAAACACGGAACAATTAGAGATCGACGCGTTTCGATTATGCAATCGTCATCAGCATGATATCAATACAAAGAAAACGTGATATCATGCTGATGACGACTGAATGCTCGAAACGCGTCCATGCTCTATTTGTTCCGTGTTTTACTATATGTCTTTATCAATATACATACAACAATCAGTGCTGCTTGCACTCACTGTAAAGACAGACACGTGTGTGGAATTGGGTGGTGGGTGTCCGTTTCTTTGCGGTTTTCAGAATCGAACAGGCCCGGCTGTTGCTGCTGAAAATAACTAGGCGAATTCGAAACGAGATTGCTTTTACGGCAGCTGGCAGGCGAAGTAAACATCAAGTCCCACCACGAGCCGTTCGGAGGAAAGATTTCACAAACTTTCGTCTGGCGTTGAAGTGCATTGTTGAATGACTTTCCAACGTTCTTTGGCATGCCATTCATAAGGATATTTAGGTTCCATTGCTCGCCGCATCTCAGTTTCCTGTTATTTGCATCCTAGCTTGCGGCTCCAAAGATATCAGAGAAACCATTTGGCATTCCGAACTTTACATGCATTACCCGTCGCGTTTATGTATATTTGATCGATATGTAAAAACATGTTCGTGAGGAAAAACAGGGCATGCACACTACCCAACGTGAGAGGCTCTGGCCTTCCATGATGTTGCGGACTGACGAATATTCGCAGAGAAATCAGTCTACTAACTACTGCCATGAAAAGAACCTGATGCAAAATAAATTTCAAAGATGTTTCTGGAATATATGTGTTTTTTTTTCGCTTTCCTCTTGGAGCGATTTGACAGCATAATTCATACACTGATTTAGATCAATTTTAAAGTTACAAATATCATATCTCCATTAGATTTCCCGCAAGGTAATATCGGTCCTAATAACAAAGAACACATGTAACTTTTGATGCTCCTTCTCTAGGTTCCTGCCTACTTGTTACATTCAAGCTGCACTTAACTTGTTTCTGAAACCAAATATTATCGGTTACTTTTGAATGTCTTGCATGTGATCCCATGATTCCTTCTCTTCTCTGCCTACACTAGTTTGTCATATTCTGTTCGCCATCCGCTCCGTCTCCTCTCTGGCCACTTTTGCCTGTCGTCTACATTCTCCCTGGACATCCCTGCTGTGTCATTTCTCGTCTCTCCCCTGTCGCAGTATCTGCTGAGTGAGCGGGCGGCACTGGCCGCGCCCCATTGACCAGACCGGACCACTGTCGTGGCGCAGGAGTCACGCTGCCAAGCCGGCGTGGCCCGAGATAGAATGACGCCCCTGGGATGGGGTGACATGGTCCGCTGTGGGGGGGGGGGGGGGTTACGGAGCGTTAAACACGGGGGGGGATGATATGGCAGCGGTGGTCACTCGCAGGTCGAACCTCCCCCGGGATTACGGCTGTGATAGCGGATGCAGCAGCCCGCGATAGCGATGGCTGGGGTTATTGATTGGGTGGGCATGAAGGGCTGATTGATTGAACAGTTGGCGGAGCTCGGATGAACAGAGCATGTTGGGTGAAAATGTGCTTGAAAATTTTCGGACTGAAAATGTAAGATCCTTTTTTTAGTGGTATTTCGCCAACTTTGTACCTTTCGTTTACAGCGACTTTTGTAAGATATTTATCACCTATTTCTCATACGCAATTTTAGTTGAATACTACATGGATTTACGACTAGAAGAAAAATGTCTTATTTGACCTTCGGGGATTTTCAGAATACAGAACACGCTGTTTTTTTTTTAGATTATTTCTTTCTTCAGTGAGAGATAAGACGTTAACACGTTATCAACGTTGCCATTAGGGTTGTGCAATTCGTCGAGCCCATGGACATATCCGCTGGCCAGCCATGTCATAGGCATGTCTGGTTGGCATATAGTTGTGATGGCATATGGCATATGGTTGGCATATATAGGCATATGGTTGTGATGCAGAATGGTTCTGAATTTGTACAGCTATAGCAGCATAAACTAATAAACAAGTAAGGCAAATTGTATGCCTTCTGCTCCAGCTATTTACTTTCGGGAGTTGTATAGGTACTCGTACATTTATTGCACCCAGTGATTTTGAATATCCTTATTTCACCCTTCGTCCTTTGTCCGAGTTTCTTTCCCACTCTAAACGCTTTGCAGAAGTTTTACATTTCAAAATGAGCATTCTGCACGTCCTTCAACTATGTGATGAATGCGAATATAATCGGGGCTTCCAGGGCTCAAGCCTTGTTAATTCTTCTCTGAGTATCTAGTTCTAAAAGACCGTCTCTCAATGCGAGCTGCATCGTTTGCTTGATTTCAGCGCTGTGAAGCTTTGCATGCAAACTTCAAGTGGGATTCTGGTTCTGATGATACGAGCGTGGCTCGTTTGTTTACTGGGAATGGTAATGGTACTTCTTTTACGACTGGCTTAGAAACATCTATCAAATTTTAATAAGCACCAATGCTTTGTTATTAAAATTGCAAACAGAAAAAAAAACAGCGACATTAGGTAGATTGGGCTATGCAATAACTGTGCTGTATTTATGCTTCTGAGAGTAATTTGATTACAGAGAAACTGATATTCAGTTACAACAGTCTCATTGCTAAACTTTCGACTGCAAATAGCCGTGGAAACAGACACTCCTTTTTCCACGCTCCTGAGCTTCGAACTTCCACAGAAACACTGTCCTTGAGAAATGTCTGATGTCTTTAGTTGCTAGCTGTATGCCACTAAAAAGTTCCCATGCGTCATCTCACACTGGGTCGTCCATTTTCAGTTTTTGGTCGGAGACCGCCGAGGCCCGTTCTGTCCACCCGGAAGGCTGTCTCAGGAGACGTTTGACCGACTGAGGATCTGGGCGGGCGAGGCGGCAGGGATGCTGGAGACCGCCTATGATAGAGATGAAAACTCACTGCCACCACAGCTGGTCTACAGGGACGACAGGTTAGTGATGCAAATTGGTGTTGGCAATGTAGACGCATGGTAGCCTTGTGCTTTCGACGTATAAACGTAACCATCTGGAAGAAAATGCGGGCGATTTTCACAGTTACACGAGTATGTGTCTTATAAAAAAATCCTGAAGAATGATTATGTTTTGACAGCTTCCAATTCCTCTTCCAAACACGCTAATTGGCTTGGGTGCCTAATAAGGAAACTCAATTAGCGAATCCAATTAACTGTTCCCATAACGATGTGTTTTTTCTGATTCCAGGGAGAGCGGCAGCGATCAGGGAACCACTGAGCTAGTCAACCTGCTTCGGAAAGCCGAAAGGTAGGTCACAGCGCAACGGAAATTTGGACGCAACAGAGTTTGATTATGAAAGCGTGTTGAGAGTGGGTAGTGTTGAGGGTAGTTCCAACGCCTGTGAGCTAGCGATAGCTTTGTTAAGAATATTGCCAAGGATTATGTAGTTTAAATACTGTTGTTGACAACTTCAGTTAAGCCCAAAGTTTAATTAGAAGGACCATGATTACCACGATAGATACACGACTGAAAATATCAAATACAACGATCAGACGTATGCGTTCTCTACTGCGCGCAGAGAGATCTGCACTAGTCTCAAAAGTCAAAACTTGGCCAGGCAATTTGTCATATCATTGTTATCGAGCTTCTAACTGCTTGATATTCTACTAATATTACCCCATCGATTTGAGACAAAACCAGTAATATCATTCTTACCTTGCGTAGATTACTTATGCAGAGCACACTCCTAAAACATACACCGCACCAGACGGTGTAGATCATTTGAAGGAATCCCGCCCATCCTTCCACGGCCACGGTACATGCATAAATGCATGACATCAGGCGCCCCGCCCCGGCGGTCCCACGGTGGAGTGCCGGGACTGCGAGCAGATTGGAGCCGCCGTTTCGCACCGTGCCGCTGTCGATTTGATGAACGGCCCGCCCAGCTACCTCATCAGTCATTGTCGGAGATGCGGGGAGGGGAGGGAGTAATTTCACTCCGGTGTGTTATCGCGCTTGTGAGGCTGGGTGGTGGTGGTGGCGGTGGTGGTGGGTTTGGTGATGGCGGCGGTGGTGTGTTAGCGCAGTGGTGGTGGTGGTGACATTGGTGATTTCAGTGCCATTGTTGGCTTTATGTGGGAAGTAGAATGTGGAAGCGTGAAGGAACGGTGGAGTGTGATCAATATGACGTTGTTGTGGTAGATTTGAGATCGGGTGATTGCATAGAAGATCAGGGTGAGGGTGATTGCTTTTTAGATTGCAGACAATTTTCAGAATAGGGGCGGTAGTTATCATTGCCCCCGCACGATCAGTTCCTGGTTGTGTGTTCTCTTTCATTGTAATAATTAATATTCCGGAATTGGCTTCTGAAATTCGGAATTCGCTATTCTAATTTGGACGAAGCACTACACAACTCTCTGTGGCATGCTCCAAGGCTAGTACTATACACCTATCCTCACAATGGATCGAGATGCTACTAGGGGACCGGAAAATGACTGACGTCCATCGCCAATCACAATTAAAAAAGTCACTCCCCTTTCAATCTGGGCAAACAACCATGGCCTCAAGCGATGCGGGGCATACTACAAACGGCACGCATAAGCCGGTACGGGAATCTCAACAGAATGTCGTGCGGTGCAGTCTACATTGCAGGCGCAAACCACTGCTGCCATCTTGGGGCAGGTATGTAAGCAATCGTCCACAGCTCGCGCGATTATATGTAGAAGAGACCGATAAACGCGAACAGTTTTTTGGCGCATTTGGTGTTTTTATTCATCTTTTTCTCTGGTAGAACACAATACAATGCAATGTATTGTGTACAATTCTTCTAACTATTTCCTGATACGCAACGCTTTAGACAAATGACATTGCGATCTTTTTTTCTCAGATAATTTCGTTTTTGTCTGCTGGATGTGCGATTGTCTTGATTATTCGTAATTTCTCATTAATTCAGTGTGGGGAAACAAATGACTATATTTGCCTCTCCCCACGTCTGTGAGGCAGGGATCCCCTCTTGTCTAACAGTCAGTAGATAAACTATTGCAATCTGTTCCGATCGCTTGTTAGGCCCACATTCTCTTGGCAGATGCTTGCTGACCATTGGCGAAAGACGTCGGATATGATTGTGAAATATAGTGAGTTCGGCAGTATGTTCTTTTTGCACATTCCATAGCTCTAATAAATTGCATCTAATTACATTGCATCGGGTTTTAAAATGACCTGCAATAGCAGGATGAATTCATTTTAAATCCCGTCATCTATAAAAATACACGTGCCTTCGTCATTTTATCAAAAGAAATACGCGTACCTTCGTCATCTCTGACCTTTGATTACAAGTGATTCTGGCATGTACTTACAGTACAACGACTCGGAACTCATTTTGTGTATCTCAAATCACAGAAGTTTCGTTCCAAATAATCGTTCGTGTTTGAGCATTGCAATGGATTTCCGGTAGCGGGCACAATCCGGACTCTGACTATGTGCTATTTGTGATATTTTGGGCTGCAGCCGTCAATCTGATCGAGCCGGGGAAATGCTCTATGCTTTGTATGTGTGACGGCTGGAGTTACCGAATTAATCCAGGGGTGAAAAATTGTATCGTTTTGTCGTTGTCGACGACAACCGAGAAGACGATCCTATGGCGACCACGCGCAGCGCCTGAATAGACTTAGACCTTCCGCTTAGTGCGGTTAGTAGCGCGCAATCCATTCGCGTCTGCCCACCCAACCCAATCGCCTCTGCCTACGCAAACCATTCTCTGCCCCTACCCCATCAAATCGACTTGCAGTTCTCGAGTCCGTTACCTCCCTACGCGGCGGCATCCCAGTGGAAAATTTCCTGGTAGTTACAGACATATTCCAACTCCCCGGAGCTATTTAGTATATACTGCGTCGTTCGACCATCGTTCGGACGGCCGACCGGCGACCCTCATAAAGGCGACCAATGACATACCAAGTGGTCGCCGTGGTTGTCCACTGGCAACACGTGTCTGGCAAATCTAGTACCTTCCAGGACTCGGCCGGCCCCTGCCCGCACCCTTCAGCGCCGCCCCTGGCCGGCGGTCAGTTAGCGCCCCCTCCAATCCGCCGGGGCTCCTTTTGTGACGTCATACCCACCCCCGGCGGCGCCTGGGGGTAGGTCCGATGGGACCGCACCAGTGCCGGTAATATTTTGATGTGGGGAGGGCACGCCATGTCATGCCCACGAGGATATGGTGTCTCGGGACTTCCAAGGTCGAGGAATAAAGATCGCCGGACATTTGAGCCTGACAGCTGAGCGCGCTGCGCTATCAAGGAGAGGAATAAGAATGTATTCGCACGCAGGGTCCGTGGCTTCTGCACGACTGAAGTGCATGTACTAACTTGAGCACGTTTTGTTCAAAGGTGAGTGGAAGTCGACCAGTGGCACCGTCGAAGAGTCGCGGAAAGGGTCAAAATGCTATCGAATCTTTTCCGCGGCGCCGTAGCTCTATAATTGGTTCCCGGGTTGCGTGCCGCTGTTTCGAAAAAAAAAATCATTCAATGGTATCTGGTGACCTCTGACCTTTTACTTGACCTAAAAAATGAATGACATATTTTCGTCCTTATTTTGGACGTTCTTTCGAATGCCGTTTACTGCTTGTCACTACTTGACCTAGGATCAGACTTAAGAGCGAGTTGTTGACCCCCCCCCCCCCCCCCCCCCCCAGCAAGCTGTGGAAATCAAGGACCCTCAGCGGGGCGCGGATTAGACATCTTGAGTTGACAACCAAATAATCCCGTTTTCTTTCGGACGACAACCACCGAAGCACTTTTTTCAGCCCTGAATTAATCCCAGGCATTTGAATTCTAAGAAGTTGAGCCACGACTTTTATATATCTGACTGAACTTCAATGATATTTCCAGTATTTGTCATCTTGCAAAAATTCGAAATGCACAATTTTACATTTCACAATCATGCACTTTATTCTTAATCCATACTTCATGTTAACTTAATTTAAAATCCTCAACCCTGTTCCACCCCTTTTTATTATTAACCCGCGCCCGGCTGGGGGTCCTGGATTTCCACGCCCTGCTGGGGGGGGGGTGTTTGAACACCCCCCCTTCTAACTCGGCTCCTGGGCCACGTAGCGATACGCGGAAGGCGGCGTTCGAAAGAGCGTCAAAAATAATGACGAAATCACTTCGGTCAATTTTTTGGTCAGGTCAAAGGTCAGGTCACCAGAGGTCATTGAAGGCAAAATTTCGCCGATTTCCAGGTCGAATGTCGAAAATTTCCAAGAAGCGAACGCATAACTCGGGAACCAATAGAGCTACAGCGCCGCGGAAAAGCGCATTCGATAGCCCTATTAACGCCCTTTCTGAGTAATTATCTCAGATTTGACCTAACGTCAACGGTTTTGCCTGCAGGGGGCAAAAACTGCAAAAATAGCCGATTTTTTCCGATCAGTTTTTCTGCAATAACTTTTGACCCAAGCCTTGTACGAGCTTACTTTTACCGGCATCGTGTTCCTCTCGTCCAGACGCATCGAATGAACTATAACTTGACCTTGAAAGGTCAACTTGAAAATTTGACCTCAGGTCAAGGTCATGACCTGACCGGAAAGGGTCATGTTGCATATCAGTCGATCCGTATAGTCGAGCTGAACACATCTAAGGTGTTTTCATCGCTCTAGCATGCCTCTATCAAAAGTTATTTGCGAAAAACTGTTAGATACCATTCGTGACCTAAGATGACTTCAGGGCATAAACAGGGGTCACGGACACCATTTTCATGTTCAGTGTGTCTAAACCACTTGTGATTCAGTGTTTGGGAGTGTTTATAATGTCTTTCGTCCAAAAGAGACGCATTTCAATTTTCTCCCATTGACTTATAATGGGGAGGTCGCAAAATTGACCTGACCTTAGGTCATCGATATCAAAATTCTGAGATATACATTTTGTACATGCTATTGCTCTTAGCAATCGCTGAAAGTTTCAAAGCGATCGGTCACTCGGTGTAGCTATGACAGACATTGAAACTTTGTATGAGGTGAGGTCACTTCAAGTGACCTGGTGACCTGACCTTGAATGACCTTGGTCTGAAATTTTGACAACATGTGTAGAATTGATGCATGATAAGGTATACCAAAAACGGCGGCGCTCCGCGCCGCCGTTTTTGAGATATTCGCGAAAAACCACAAGGGGGGTGTTCAAACACCCCCCCCCAGCAGGGCGCGGGTTAATTAATGTAAAACAGAAAATCATTTATTTCAAATCACACAATCAGGGAGCATATCGCCGGCATATTCCCTGGCGACGACTGCACGTCACAGTCAGTCAGTCCAGCCT